GCACATTTTTTTACTAAAATAAGAATATTAAAATGTAAAATAAATTTTTTTTAAATGAATAAACAATTTTTAATTTAAAATTATACGTTTTTTGTTACTAAATTTAATTTTTAAATAGTTGGGTCAAATTACCCCTGTCCGTTTTAGCAAAAATTAAAAAAAAAAACATTAGTTTGGGCTACTTGTCCGTCCTTTTCAGACAAATATTTTTTCATAGGAATATATGTATTTTGGACTCTTGGCTATTCAACTAGAATATATATGCCTTTAGCACACTTCACCGTATTCGTTTTTTCTTATACATATTTTTAAATCATTTATTTAATTTAAATCGAAAAAGCATACACATTTTTGCATCTGCAAATTATGCAAACTTCAGAATTATTTGCAAACAAGAGCCAATCTGAAAAAACGAGGAAGTGAGGCCGCGAAAGCAGAAGTGGCCCAATCCGAAGTTTTTCAATTTCCCGTATTCGACAATCAAATAATAGGACTTTTTTTTAATCACCCAGATGATAATTTAGGTAGGCCTTCTAAAGTGAAGCCATTCTGGAAAGGTGTTTCCCTGCATGACTTTTAATATTTACATTCTATGTAAATGTCATATTATATAGCTTTACATATGAATTTCAATATGATTTTTAAGTTACAATTAAGGGCGGTATTATCACTTGCGAACGGTTTGGTGAAGCGAATGGATTGGCGAACGCAACTTAAATATGCATTAACAGTGTTCGCTTTTATCAGCTTGTGCAAGTTCTTTTCACACTTTTAATACCTTCTCTGCCTTTTAATTCGCTTCGCCAAACCGTTCCCTTCGCCAAAATCATTCGCTTCGCAAGTGATAATACCACCCTAAACCTTAGCAAATACTTTAAAGAAATGTATATGATTTTCATGAATTCAAGAAGCAGCTTTAAAAGAACTCCTCCAAAAAGCCTTCTGAAATACGTCCTACAAAAGAAATATAGAGTGGAAGGCTTTTTGGAAGGGCTTTTGATTCATGAAATTATCTACTGAGTATGAGTTGGAAATAATGTTGCTCATACGCCATGTATTCTCTATTCTCTCTTTGCTCATAATCAAACCTGTTAAAAACAAGAGATTAACAGCAGCATAGTACTTCCCACGGCAATTACGTAGACAATAGGTTTGTTCGTCGAGCAAAAAATTAGTACGAATTTGTACGAATTATCACGATTTTTGCCCAAATCGTGTTCGTGCAGACCAATAAATTATCCAACACTCAAAAATTGTGAGAGCAAAGTGGCAGTTCTCTTGGAGAGAAGTTGCAAATTCTTGCTGGAAAAAATTTTGCCAGCAAGAATTTGCAAACACGAAAAACATGTGGTTGTGGCGCATGGTTGCATTTTTGTCTACAATAATTTGAATAAATTAGTTCGTTAAATTTAAAAATTTATAAACACGAGCGATTTTTTTATGAAAAAAGGAAGTAAATAATTGTTGATATAATTAATTTAGTTAATTCCAATGATTTTAACTTAATTCGGCTGAAGAAAATGGTATTCGCAATCGGAATGCAATTGCAACCAGAGTCGATTTAAGAAACCCGACAGCTAGTACGATGAAGAAATTGAAATGTATGTTAAAGAAAGTCAGAACAACAAGAAATATACATGTATATCTTGTTTTTGGCCATCCGAAAGAATTTTAAAAATTCTATAAAAATTTTTTATGTTTGAAATGCAACCGTGGACGCCAGCTGGCAGGGAAACTTGCAAATTCCTGCAAATTTGCGTTCGTGCAGAAATTTGCAAGTTTCTCAACATGAGAGAGAATTTGAGAGAATTTTTTCTTACTCTCTGATATTTTGAGTGTTGGATAATTCTTGCTGGATTTTCGACGAACAAACCTAATGAATCACTCTACATACGTATGTATGTCTGTAGATACTTTTCAAAACAGTCGTGAAAGAATTTCCACATACATATGTATGTAAGTATTTTGAACCTTTTTTGCTGCTCTTATAAGGTATCAAATTTGAGACTTTTACATCGGTGAAGATGATATCTAAATTTTTTTAATGAATGTGGTTTAATATACTTTTTTCTTCATCACTTACCGAATAAAAGTGGTAAATTGATTGTTGGATATGCATGAAGACCAATGACTCCACTAAATAACCAAATCACTGCCTGAAGCCGATATAAAAGCATTTTGGTCTATTTTAGTATGTTTTAAACTGAATTCAAATCTGAAATAAGAGTTATATGTATATGTAATAGAAATAACAAGGAAACTTTTGATAATATATACATACATACATACATATGGACATATGTATGTATTTATGTTTTTATTACGATGCCCTAATTAGTTTGTAAAGCTTCTGTGTAGTATGTACTAACGCTTAAATTGAATATGTACATTAGTCCATCAATATGCAAATATTCTTACAACTAATTCTACTTTATTTCCATTCAAATGGGAAGTTACATTCAAAGCTTTGATAGTCACTTGTGGTAGCGTCTTGATCCTTGCTATAAACAGGGAAGAATAGCCGTCATCGCGATACATCGATTGTTGAAGCACAAAAAATAGTCATAACGTAGACCATTCACAAATGTACCTACATACATGCATTTGCATGCATATATTTCTCGGTGCACGAGCACTTTTTCTTAGAAAACGTTAAGCACTTCAGCTGCTAAAAATAGCATGAAAACACTAACAAATCGATATCCCACAACAAAAGCAACTATGCAAAAAATACAAAGTTAAGGAGAACCGTGCCAACAACGTGACATGCAAGGGGATGGCAGCGTACATTAAGGGCTACTAAACAGTAGCTTTATAACAATGTGCCTCATTGCGCAATTGAAGGAATGGGAGACACGTATTTAGATTCGTAGTTAGGAGATTCAATATAGGACGTCACATGATTTGCCATTACATTTCGCATTTTAATTTAATAGACCAAATATAATTTAAGCCTTTAATGTGTATGTACGTATGTTATTTACATTTTTAAAATCTATGATTTCATAATTCCAGTTCCTTACACTTATAATACAGGCCATTTCCGCTTTAATACAATAAATTTATTGAAGCATGCATTATGCATTCGTGCTTTACAGGTCGCCTGTAAAAGTTCAAGGCGACTTTTTCATTGATCCCTCCTAACGTTATATTTTTTATATCAGCCATACATATATGTTACGCAGGAAATGGCATGAATGAACAGAGTTAAGCAGTGTTAATTGCGCTGATATACCCTTCAGGGAAGCTAATAAGCCATATTGTAAAATATGGATTCAAGCAATTCATTCATTGGGGGCTTTCAGCCGAGGATTCCGAAATTTGTTAAACCATCATTACTACCTTTCCTTTTTTGCACGGTGTGCTAAATAAAATTAAAACTGAACAAGTTTTTTTTAACAGTATTAGAGCACAACTTGTATGCTTTTTTTATTATTTACTTCCTTTCGTTAATCTCTTGACATACCACTTAATTTTACATTAACACGTCCGTTCTGCTTGAATGTAAGAAACACTTTGGTAACCATCGTCCCTACACAGGCAGTTTTTCACTGTCAACAACTGTCCAATAAGCTTTCAAACCTCCCTATAAAGCTTTGAAGGTCCAGCAGTACAAATACCAAATAAAGAGGAATCTCGCAAAACAAATCACAAGTATCATTGTAATGGGAAAATGTTCATTCATTTAACAAAACAAATGCTTTAATGTTATTACATGATTATTGAATTAAAAAAATATGAATACATATTTAACTACATCCTGGGAATGGTTCCGTGCGATTTTTGCGTAGCACAAATTGTATCTTCCGATTCATGTCCTCATTATAGATTGCTTTGCATTTCTCGAAGTTAACTCGACGTCGCACCTACAACAACAAACCAATGTTTGAAATAAATATATATTATAGATTTAAATGGTACTAACCCATGAACGAAACACATTTTTGGTTCATGGTACTAACCTGATACGGCTTTTCATAGAAGCGTGTTCGCCGGTATTGATCGAAAATTTCCTCTTTGCCCAAGATGCGATTTAACAAACGACAGGCTTCTTCCACATTATTTTTTTGTACCATTACGGTTCTTGCTATGAATTTTGCGTGCTTCATTGTTTTATTTACTTTATAACTTCTCCGCTTTGTTTTATAACACGCCCACAAGTAATTGGAATAATTTGAAGTATAAACAGCTGACTAATTTCATCCCTTGTCGAAAGCGTAATCTGAAAACCAGATGACGCTGTATTTAAAGGCACAAATAGTGTTGGAAATAGATTCTACAAATACATTATTCCCGCTCTTACCGGCCGTCTTCACACGCTTGAAAATCTCGCTGGCGTTCTGCTTTTTTCTCTCGCAAGCGAGTTAGAGTTTTGTTGACTGGGCATTTGACATCATACTTTTTCATTTGTAAAATGTCGCCAAACAAGAAGGTTCAAGCCTTGCAGGCTCTTAAAAGTTTTAGAAAATTAGAAAATCTGCATAAAGAGATGTATACTATTTTCAAATGAAAAATGGCTGCCTCTAAATTTGTATTTGCCTCCAAAATAAACGATGTTGCTACTCTGAAGAGTTCTGCGAAATGAGAACATAGCTGTCAAACAACAAAAATGACAGTTGAAAGCAAGCGAGAGCAAGCATGCTTCGTACATTTTGCGGTCTACACGTGCGGTTTCTCGCATGCGTCGTTACGCAAGCGAGATTTTCCAGCACGTGAAGACGGCCGGTTATTAAACGATATAAAAAGTGCTATAGCAAAAATTGATATCCTTAGTATACCAAACTTTCATCCCAGCCTGGATAATTCATTATTTCAAAACCTATCCCCGAATTTTATATAAATAAACTAGAGAATGTAAAGTCTAGGTTCAGACACAGAAACTTTTGTTGCGGCAACTCGAAGTTTGTGGGAGAGAGGGCGACGAGGAATGCGAAGCGCACATTAGCGCGATTCTGTCGTTGGGAATACATTGCGAATTCGGCTGTTCACTTCGAATCCGCAATAGTGCGCAAACTAGCATTAGGTGCAATCCCTTATTCCTCGAACTCGGACTAGTAAAACTGTCAAAAAATAAAAATTCGTTCAGAGCGAGGGAGTAACATTGAAAAGTACGGGATCGCTTTCTAATAAAAAATGGTAACTTCTGTCAACTTCAACATAACCTCCAAATCTTGGTTGTAAATTTTTGCTTATTTTGTATGTAAACACACTCAACTCACACATGTAAATAACCAAAAATACTTTCAAATTCATTAGAATCCACTTAAACAAGTAATTAAATACTTTTCATACATGAATTAGCAGAGTGCACTTTTCTTTTGTTTACAATTTGGTTGCCAAACACACTACAGCTGATCTTTTGACAAATTTTTTCAGAATTTACCAGCAAAAAATTCTTGGACTAAAACTAGTAACTTCTGACAGAGAGAGAACCGTATTTACTCTCTTTTTTGTCCTTTCAACAGTCAGAGAACCGAGTACGGGATCGATTTCCAGTAAAATCTGGCTGATTCTGACTATTTCTAACTAGTTCGGACTCGTACGGGACACGGCGTGCCCATATCATATAAAATAAGATTGTTACGAGCATTTTTTATTAGTTTTTGTACATTACACATTTTTTTCTTTGCGTGTATTGCAATGACACTTTCCTTCTTCCTCTTTGACGCCTTCAAAACGCTGCAAGCCGCGTTTCGAACGCGTCAAACGAGAGGAACATAGCATTGTTGTAAATTTTGGCTCTGCGGATTCGCAACGTCAGAATCGCGGTAATGTGGGACTCGCTGAAAGGGGAAGGGCACCGAGTTGTTCATGCTCGGGGAACAAGCTTTGTGCTCTCATTCGTCTGGGTGATTCAAGTTGATGGTTCACAGCTGACAACAACAATTGTGTACAAAATAATTGCTCTGTGTGAACGCGAAGGAAAACACCAAAACTTTAGTTGCCGAACAAATCTTTCTCTGTGTGAACCCAGTCAAGTCCATAAATTTAATTGAGCCTGCATTGTCGACCAAAATGAAAATATCGATTGCTACTTAGGACCGGTTACTCAATGTCTTGTTAACACCAATCTCCGGTTAAACATTGTTATCGACGTATTCGACCCCATTCATACAACAGGGAGCGTCGATAACTATGTTTAACCGGAGATTAGCGATGACCAGACATTGAGCAACCGGCATGTAACATGTGATCGATAAAGCAGTAGTTGTGCTTAACCGGAGCTTCTACCCCCCGAATTGTGCTAATCAGACATTGAACAACCGGCCCTTAGGGCCGGTTTCTCTATCTCCGGTTAACACTAATCCCCCGGTAAACATCGTTACCGACCTTATCGACTCCCTGTTATATGCATGGATTTAGAACGTCGATAACAATGTTTAACCGGGGAGTTAGTGTTAACCAGAGATGGAGAAACCGGCCCTAAGTGTTGTGCGATGGAAAGTTGGTACCCATAACATTTCATCCGGCTGTTGTCACAGGATGGATGGTCCTCACCAAGGCGAATTTATACAAGGAGGTGTTAACAAAACAAAAACTAAAATTACAATTACAAATTATACACATCATTCAGAGAAAAGGTACAAATTCGTCATGAAATCAGCGATAAGGCAAAGAATTGTTAAAGAAGTAACCTCACCTAAGGCAGTCAATATGGCGGAATTAGAGCGAGAAGTTGCCAACCAATACCACCTTGTATTATTGCGTCATGGGATCATGCTACTAATACTATATCCTGGTTACTTTTAACAACTGCATTTAAGAGTACTCAGTTTTTAAACAGTTTCTATTAAGGAAATCCGATAAATAGTTATCGGCAATGGTCTGTATTATCGACTTGCACGTTTCTATTCTAGAAGATTCATGCGTCAGACCTTTTGGGTTCGTTTATTCGGTCTTCCACATTTTTTCTCAGTTGAAAATTAAAAGCGCACTTGAGTGAAGTTTCTGCTCGTCGGAGGTTTATCTTGATCGCAGTGTGACCACGTTTCTATTGTGAGTTTAATGACAATATTGTGTTAATTATTCTGGAATTTCTAGTATATTGAATCCAGGAAAAGATAAAGTAGAATACAACAGCTGAGAGTCGGGAGAAAATACCTTATCAACCCGAAAAAAGTATTTATTTTAAGCTCAGTACTCGTTGGCAAGGGCAATTATTTAAAAGCTGAAAAGTTTATTGCGTATCTAAAAAACGCAACGAATAGCCGAACGCGTGGAATCGAAGGGATTTTCAAGGGCCATTTTAGCAATCTAGCAAATTTTTACAAGGTAATTTTCGTGTATACGTACCACTAAAAGGAAAGAGAATATTATAAAAGGAGAGAGAATTTATATAATGAAATTAGCTTTACAGACAGAAAAAGGTATGTGAAAGCACCTCGTCAGGTCAATAGGTGGAAATTTAAGTTTTGAACTTTGTATTATGGAATGTATAATAACGTAGGGCAACTTGTAAATAGCAATTTTAGCGTCTTGAAATTCGGCATAAAATCTATCTCATACGAAGGCGGTGGCGAAGAAAAAATCGATATTGCAATAGAGTGCAACTATCGAAAGTTTTCGTTCGTAACTCGTCGTTTGACTGTTCGTCCCTGCTAACTTCTACTCGCTGCTTTTATATGCAGTTCTCCCCTCGAACATAGAAACTGCATATTTCTGGATATTTCGTAACATCAAATGCAAAATTTGTCTATTATTTGGAAACGATCTCTACGTAGATTTGTGGAATAGGCGATGGGTGTTTTAAGTATACAACTTTGTATCTACCTGTTCGGGGGATAAAGGGAAAATGGTGT